TTGCACTAAGTTAGAGTGCTCGAGATCACTTTTCGAGTGCTCGAAAATCAGGCAGATTGCACTCAGAAATGGCTCAATTTCAGCCACTTGCACATTGGTTTCCTCAATGCCATCTTCCTTCTTTATGAAGTGGTTGGAGGTGTTCCTTGGAGGAGAGAGAGGGTGTGTTGGAGAATAAAAAGCTACCCAAGGGCCACACATTATTTATCTTTGATTTTTGCAAGATAGAGGAGGGAGAAGAGAGCAAGAAAGGAAGGTGTTCTTGAAGCTAACAAAGGGGAGCTCGAAAATTGGAGATGGAGTTCAAGCTTCTTCTTCATTCTAAGGCTCCAATGGGTAACTAACTCCTCTTCTAGGGAGGTGATGAAGCCCCTCCCTTGTAAGCATGTGTTAGTATAGTTTATTTTTGGGGATTACAATGTATTTTTGATAGTCTTTCCATGGTCAAGAGCCTCATTTTTGTTGTAATGAATGTTGAATGTTTATAAATGATTATTGTGAATTATTCATCTTGTCTTGGATGGTTACTTTTCGTAATCATATTGCTTGCACTTCCATGGTGACAATGGAAGTTAGATCATGGAATGGTTTCAATGGCATGGAGTTGGAGAACCTAGATAGTTCATGGCTTAGGGTTTCCCTTTGATGGTCTATACTTGATTCTTTGCTTTATGTGCATTCACCATTTAAATTAGGGCTTGATAATCCTTGACTTAGTAAGCATGTTCTAAGCTACATTTTAGTTTAGGTAGTTGATCATGTGAACCTTTGATGGTTTATTCTTGCCTTCCTATTTAAATGAACTTCTTGAGGATATTATAGCAACCTAGTATTGTTATGTATCATGACTATCATATATGTTGTTTTTCCCTTAAATTATTCTTAACCTAGCATGTGTATAGGGATGGAGGTGGATTCATTTCCCTAGCCTTCTTTACTTGTACTTCACTCCCTTGAATTCTTGCAATTTATTATTTTATGCATTTTTAATTTCCTAGCTTAAGTGACATCCAACAAACCTCTATAAACCCCTTATCATTCTAAGAACAATTCTAGACACTTAGGTTGCCATAGACTAGCGCAGTCCCAGTGGTTCGACTTACCCGACCAATAGCCCTATTTTACAATGATTCGTGCTATTGCGAAGGTTGATGTATAGTTGATCAACCGATCATCTAATTAGATTTCCTTTTATTAAAAAACTCACAATAAAAGGTAGTGTTAGTGTTTTAAAGAAATTATTTTATTTTACCTATTTAATTTTAATTCGTAATTGATTTGTGTCAAAGTTAACATATTTGAATTGAATTATCAATAGCACTCTTTTTAATATTTAATGTAATATATTATATTTAATGTAATATATATTATTAAGAGGCGTGATGTAATATCTAAAGTAGTGAATTAATTATTTATGCACCAATTGATTTAGTTCAATATTTTGTGCACCAATTGATTTATTAAATATTTTATTATGCATTAACACTTTTTTTTACGAAGCAAATAATAATTAATTTATTAATTTATAAAAATTGATATTCTTATATGAAGCAAATAATAATTACTTTATTAATTTATAAAAATTGAGTACAATTCTCTATCCTTATTTAATTTTTCTTGTTGCCTACAAAGTCTTTTTTCTTTTTTTATTGCAATTTTTGTTAATTTAAAAATATTTAGGAGTAATCCACATCTATTATTTATAATAGATTTAAGAAATAAATAAAAAAAAATAAATGAGATTTAAGAAATAAATAAAAAATAAATGAGTGATATATTTTCCGAAAACTCTGTAAATCAAAATCTACAATGGTGTGGAGACTTCTGTTTAGACCTTTCACAATTGCGTAATTAAGCCACACAAACAAAAGATAACAATTTAAAGTCAATATTACACACATGGATTGATCTCTCAACTTACTTTGAGATGCTGTCTAAATCTCTCCACTTCTTGTTCTATGAGAGCTTGTCTCAACTTACTTTGAGATGCTGTCTAAATCTCTCTACTTCTTATTCTATGAGAGCTTCTCTCAACCTAATTTGAGATGCTGTTTACCCTTCATCCTTCCCCAATGCCTGTATTTACAGGCTAGTGACATGTGTCCTCTCTTCATAAGAACATAATCATAACTGGGACGGGGCCGGATGAATGTCATTATCTTTTATAATAATAATATATATATAGATATAGATTTTGTGTCACAGTTTTATAGAAACTCTTTTAATAATAGTATAGATTTATTAGGGAATTTGTAATTTAAATTTATAAAAACTCTTTTAATAATAGTACATATTTATTAGGTAATTTGTAATATGAATTTATTAATTTTTTTTAGAAACAAATAAATAAATAGGCGATTTGAATTTTATTAGTTAATTTGTAGAGTTTTATATCAATGAATAAATATTTTTTTATATTAATAAATAGATACTGAAATACTGAAACACTTTGCACGTTTAATAATAGTATATGAATATATTTAATGGAGAATATTTCATCAAATTAGTATGAATTTTTTTTCATATTTTATTTTAACAAGGAAAATATATCGTATAATTTAATACGAAAGGATATTATTGTTATTTAATGAAAAATGGGAAAGACAAGAGGACATTTTACAACTAAATGTGATAGTTTAGGGGGTTTTATGGACAAAACATAGTTTAGAGGATTATTTACAAATTTAAACATAGTTGAAGGTTTTTTTTGCAATTTACCTATCTCTCTCTCTCTCTCTCTCTCGAGTATCTAACCCTAAAAATATACACGTTTTCATTCGGAAGGGTAAACACAAGGAGGCTATTGTTCTCAGCCGCCCTAGATCCTCCGCTTGGCCAACTCCTTGGATCTCTTCCACTAATTCCTTCCATCTCTGTCGTATTTCGACAAGCGAGACGCAGGTAGATATATATAGTATCTAACCCTAAAAATATACACTTTTTCATTCGGAAGGGTAAACACAAGGAGGCTATTGTCCTCAGCCGCCGTAGATCCTCCCCTTGGCCAACTCCTTCGATCTGAAGCTCTTCCACTAATTCCTTCCATCTCTGTCGTATTTCGACAAGCAACGAGACACAGGTTGCTACTCTCTCTCTAGATTTTATATGTCATATATTATTGCTATCAAAATCTGTCTTCCCTAATTCGTTCTTCTCCTCGGCGTTTATTTCCAATTTTTGGGTAGCGTAAATTGTGGATCGAGCTCATCAATTTTTATTATATATGGTGTATTTATTTTCTTTATTTTGGAATTTTCTTTTCCCATTCTGACAAGGAGTCTCATAAATTGGGCTATTTTGTTATTCCCATCCACAGAAATTGGGGTGGAAGTATTTTCCTTTCCATTCATTCGGATCTCATCGTGGGAAGGAGAAGGATATTGGAGGTGCAAAGGTTACTTACATCATCTCCATCCATCTCTATTTTTTACTGGATATGATGTATCGGCTACACACATATTGGTGGTTCAGCAGAGTTGATCTTAATCTTGATTCTCCACCGGCTAATTCGTTTGGCCTAATGGCACACGTTGACAGAAAAGATTTCAACCATGCCTTAGTCTCAGAAAAAAGTGTTGAATTGAGTAAAACAAAACACCCAATTTCGACCACTGTGTTGTTGTCTGATGACGAAGCATACTCATGCTTCTCTCAATTCCTCTCTACTGTCGGAATTACCCTCGATCGTGACCATATATTTCATAGCATTCTCTCTGATTGTCGAGCCATAACTACTAGCGAACCCTTCTCTAGATCCCACACCAGTACGGAGGTAATCACCCGCAATCGTGACCAGCTCTCGGACACAACTGACGATTTATTTAGTAGGATTCTCTCTGGTGACATAGAACAAGTCACTTGTTCTAGCACCACTAGCACACCTTTTTTTTTCATAGACATGATGGTTACGTATTTTCCGTGGCCGTGGCCGTGGGATAGGGAGGTGGACGAGGACGTGGACGAAGACCATGATGGGTTGAAGACCGTACCATGGATAGGAGGTTACATTGATAAATGTATAATTTGTTTCGTCAAGTTTCGAGTTGGTTCTGAAGTCACTCGCATGCCCTGTGATCATGTCTACCATGAAGATTGCATTATTCATTGGCTGGAGATCAGTAACTTTTGTCCGATTTGTCGCTTCAAGATGCCAACAGCTGAATGATTTGAATTAGAATTTTTTTTTTTTTTTTTCATCCATTGTAATGGCACTGTAAATGTAATGACATTTTTTATGACATATATAAATCGTTTTGTTTTTATCAATTCATGTAATATGTTGTTAATTTTTTGTTCTTTGATTTAGTATTCTTTCGTACAGCTTCAATTCATGTACTATTCTGTATATAGCGATGGTTCATTCTTAATTTATTCAGTAAAGAAACAAATTGGCACAGAAATATTAAGTCTTGCTTGGTTTTCTTTCTTAAAATTGTTTTCAAGAATAGAGAACGTGAACAGGTAAAATTACAAAACAGTTAAAATTTTTAAAAACTTATTTGATTGTCTCATATTTCACACCATTGAATTTTGCACCTAGTTTATATGCTATATAAAGACATTTTTTTTAAATCTTAAGTGAAAAAAATTGTTATTGTGCCTCATATTTCACACCTTTTAATTTTGCACCTAGTTTATATGCTATATATATACATATATTTTAAATTTTAAGTGATTATGTCGTTACTAATAAAAAATAAAAGATAAAAAAAAAAAAGAAAAAAAAAAAAGTTAAATAAAATTATAGTATTAAGGACAAATTTCTGTAAACCCCCAATACTATTAAAAATTGATCATAAAATCTCAATCAGTTTGAAAACCCCCCCAATAATAAAATAAAGTTATCATTTTACCCCAACTCTGTCAATTGGACGTCAAGGGTATGTGAAATGACTAAATTACTCTTATTATATTCTCTTTTATTTAAAAAATCATATTTTTGAAATTACAATACTATCTTTTTAGCAAAAAATCATATTTTTGAAAAAACCAGAGGAGTATGAAGGCTGCCGAAGCCAAATTAGCAATTCCTCTTCAAAAATATACACAGCGTGATGCTAACTGCGCGGCTTCTGTCCTCCTCATCCTCGTTCAACCAAATTACCAGACTACTCACCAAGAGCCAGACTCATCAACAACGAAGCTGCAAGAGAATGGCTTCAACTGTCAAAGCATCAATTGAAGGAACCGCAGAGAAGCTCACTGCACCATATGGTTCTTGGAAGTCCCCTATCACCGCCGATGTTGTCTCTGGCGGCGAGAAGCGTCTCGGCGGCACAGCCGTCGACGGCCATGGCCACCTAGTTTGGCTCGAATCTCGCCCCACCGAATCAGGGTATGTATATTAGTATACACACACACGTATATGCCGACAGCACCAATCATTTTAGTCATAATTCCCAAAAGCCCTAAAAACGTAATCTTTATATGACATTTTCTGGATAAGTTCAGACGAATGGTTCTTGTTAAAGAACCAGAGAAACCAGGGGATGAACCTATCGATATTATGCCGAAAGAGTTTGAGGTGCGAACAGTGGCTCAAGAATATGGAGGTGGTGCATTCAGGATTTTAGGGGACACTCTAATTTTCTCGAATTACAAAGATCAAATACTGTACAAACAGTCAATTGTATCTAGAGGTTTATCTTTGATCATGTATACCATGAAGATTGCATTGATCATTGGCTGGAGGTAGGTAACTTTTGTCCGATTTGTCGCTTCAAGATGTCGACAGCTGAATGATTTGGATTAGAATTGTTTTTTTTTTTTTTCATCCATTGTAATAGCACTGTAAATGTAACGACATTTTTTATAACATATATAAATTGTTTGTTTTTATCATGTGATATGATGTTAATTTTTTGTTCTTGATTTACTATTCTGTCGTACAGCGCCGGTTCATTCTTAATTTATTCAGTAAAAAAACAAATTGGCACAGAAATATTAAGCCTTGCATGGTTTTCTTCTCTTAAAATTCTGAACAGGTAAAATTACAAAACAGTTTTTGAAAAACAAAAATTCAAAAAACTATTTGGTTGTCTACAAATAATTTTATGAATTTAGAACAATTTTTTTGTTATTGTGTCTCATATTTCACACCATTGAATTTTGGGCTATATACATACATATATTTTAAATCTGAAGTGATTATGTCATTACTATAAGAAAAAAAAAAAAAAAAAAAAAGAGTTAAATAAAATTATAGTATTAAATATAATTCTTTACAAAATATGATGCACTAGAGTTTAAACCTGGGAAAACCAATAATAGTCCACTTGTACAAATATTAATTACAAGTGTTCATTCTTAATTTATTAGTAAAGAAACAAATTCGCATACAAAGCTCTTTATATGTGCGTGTGTTTTCTACTTATATATACAACGCATTTTTATGACTTGAAATTTCATGAACTTTCCGTCTCTAACCCTCTTGAGGCATTTCAGATTTTCAAGGGGATGTTCAGATACCAAAATGGCTAATCCCAGAAGCACAAAACTTAATAAGGAGAATTCTTGATTCCAACCCTATTACAAGGATAACAATGGCAGAGATCAAAGTAGACGAATGGTTCAAGCAAGACTATATTCCTGCCAACCCTGATGATGAAGAAGAAGATATATACGTAGATGATGAAGTTTTGTCGATACATGAGATTTAACTAAGGAGTTTGAGTAGAGAAAGTCTCATAAAGGTCCTAGCACTTCAACTCCAAATTTAGCTTAGCTTAACAGTTTTTCAATTTTTAGTTTTTTCCTTTGTTTTGCTTAGCTCCTTTGCTTAATTGTTCCTTTGCTTGGCTTCTCTTCAACTCAATGCACCTAGTCAATCAAAAACAAACATAATGAGTAATCAAAAGAAAAAATAAAAATAAAATAAAGACACGATCAAAAGAGTACTAATCCTAATTGAATTCCACAAATTCGACGTTGCCAAATCAAATCAATCAATCCCCGGCAACAGTGCCAAAAACTGACTGGTCATGGTCGCACTACCATCAAACTTAAGAGTGTGCATTAAGGTGAGGGCCAAGTTTTACATTTATAAAGCCATTACTACCTTCACTAAAAATATAGTTAGTGCGAGTAGGGATCGTCCCAAGGGATTGTGGATTGTGCTAGGTCGAATTGTGTTGTGGAATCGAGATTAGGGTTAGTAGGTCGAGTGATCAAGTAATGGTTGGTTGGTTGTTTAAACTAGAGAGCAACTAAATTAAATTAAGTATGAATGCAATAAAGAGTAAGTAAAAGAAAGAGAGATGTCTTGGGGTTTAGAGATTACCACCAAGCAATGCATCTCTATACCATTAACAAGTGACTAATGAGGGTAAGGTGTGTTGCAATATTGGTGTGTGTGTGAAATTGGTTGGTTCAATTAGCAAGGATGACCAATTAAGCAAGTATTGTCTAAACATCATGTGAAAGGCACAATATATCAAGCAATGAAGCATATATTGTCTAAATAACATGTGAAAGGCACAATAGATCAAAACAAGTCATTAATCCTTTCATTAAGCTCACAATCCAAATACACCACAAGGTTAGAGACATGTGCTACTTGCATTGAAAAGTATGGAATATCAAACAACAAGCATAGATTGTTCTCCCATTTAACACTACACTACAACTACATTACATCTACACTACTAGCATGAAAATAAACTAAGAGAGAGGCATAGTCCATCAAGGAATAAGTATGAACCATCAAGAAAATAATAAGAACATTCCATTAAGCACTATTTTTTGACAATCTCTAGATCCATAGCATTAATACACATAGACATGCATCAATAACACAAGAAATAGAGATAAGCACATGAACATCTATTCTAGCATACATAAACATATGGATAGAATGAAATGATCAATTGAAAGCATTAAACCATATAAATCATTGAATGAACAAGATCTATATAAATCAAAGTGTTAAAAAATGTATTACAACACTAATCCCTCAATAATACACAAGATTAAGGTAAAGAAAACATGCTTGGGGCTAACTTTAGCCCCAAGAGGATGTTTAGCCACTCATAGTGATGCTCCTTCAATCCTCAAAGGCAAGCTCCATGGATGAAATCTGCTCCTTGGAAGATGAAAGGCCTCTAATGGTGTCTCTAGCCTCCTTCTTCTTTTCTTCTACACTAAGAATAGCCTCTAAAGTTGCCTTTACCAAATTGCCAATCTTTTTTTTTTCAAAAAGTGCATCATATTCCTTTTATAGGTAGGTCAAGTGACACACCAAATGAGCTGGGGTCGTGCAAGGCATATTCCCCAATGATTGGATAGAGGACGGAATGAATGAGCTGGCTTTTTAACTTTTTCGCACCGGAGAAAGTTCGATCGATCGAACCTTGGACTTGGATGGATCGAACTTGGCTGAGATCTATCGAACTAAGGCTGAATCGATCCAACTGGCTGAGCTTTTTGGGAAAAGACAAATCCGAGATATTTTTGAAGATATTTTGGGAAAAGGACAAAAATGGTTAGTAGGTGGTACAACTGTGGATAAGATCAATCATTTGGATAAGGATAAGGGGGTTCGATCGATCGAAGAATGATGTTGGATCGATCGAACTTTTGGATTTCTGAATGTGAACATCATAGTTTTGATCCATCTTGAAATGCTGAGATCGATGAATGTTGGATCGATCGAACTCTGAAGTTGGATCGATCGAACTTTGCTGTTTCCCACATTTGGCTTCTTTTTGCTTCTTTCTTTCTCCACTTTGCTCCTTTCTTTGATTAATCAATGTTTGCTCCACAACCGCCCATAATTCAAGGTAATCAAGGTGTTAGTGTAGCACCACTGGTTGTAAATCCCCCTCTTGCTTTGCATGATCACTATGTACCGAATGAATATAATGCACCCACATGTATTCAATTACCACCATTTAGAGCACATCTGATGAGCACTGAATTGTGCGCATTTTAACCCGTTAAGCTTGGATATTCTAGAACCTTTATCTATCTTACTTTGCCATTTTAGATTAATTTCGTATTATTTCCATTTTCAGGCACTTATCCCGAAAATAAGCTAACTCAGCAAACATTGGCCTAGGCATTCCCAATGGAAGTTGGCCTTGTTGTTGTGGATGAATGAAAGGTCTCGGCATGCCTAATGGAACTTGGATGTTGTCATGATGTACATTAGGGTGGAGGATACCTTGTTGGTCTATGTGACCAAGGTCCTCCACATGGTCCTCATTTTGATGAAATGTAATGACTAGAACTACCTCTTCCCCTAGGATTACGAATAACAGATTCAAGATGAAAATCAAGTGGGACAAGAGTTGGATTTAATGACCTTCGACCATGCATGCACAAACAAAACAAAAACAAGAAACAAAGCAAGTAGCAATCACTTCACCTCCACAACAAATCAATAATCAACAAACTTCCTCCACATACAATGATCCTATACTCCCATGCTTTCAACAATATGCAAGAAAATAAAATTGCCTCCACGCGGGCTCACGATTTATCTAAGAATTGAAAAGCAATGCCTCCACGCGGGCCGATAATTAAAATAGTGATTGAGTTAGAAAGAGCTCACAAAGGGTCCATAAGCAACTTCAAAGTATTTTTTCAATTTTTGGCTTAGCTTTGCAAATTTTTAGATTTTTAGCCTTTTCTTATGCTTTGCTTAGCTCCTTGCTTCGAATTCCTTTGCTCACTTTCCTTATTTCAATGTACATAGTCAATCAAGAATAACCACAATAAGTATCCAAAATGAAAATAAAAATAAAGTAAAGACACGATCAAAAGAGTACTAATTCCTAATTGTTTCCAAAATACAGCGTTGCCTTCAAATCTCCGGCAACAGCACCAAAAACTATGGTGGCTTCCCGAGCGTGTGCACAAAATGATACACAAGCACTTTGAGTGTGGAACTAGTGTCAAGTGGACACCATACTTTAAATTTATAAACTGCTTAACACATATACTATATAGTATGAGTGAGAAGGGATCGTCCCAAGGGATTAGGGGGTCGTATTGAAATGGAAACAAAGAAGGGTTAGTAGGTCGAGTGATCAAAATGTGGTTTGTTTGGTTGATTAAACTAAACCTAAACTAACAAGCTTAATGTAAACAAGCAAATAAAGGATAGAGAAAACAAGAGATAGAGAGAGAGAGATCTTGGGACTTAGAGGTTACCACTAAACATCATCTTTCTAAACACTCAATGTATAATTAATAAGGGGAAACATGTGTTGCAATATTGGTGTGTGTGTGATTGGTTGTTTCAACAAGCATAGATGACCAATTAAGTATATATTGTCTAAACAACCTAATGAATAGTACAATATATCAAACTAAGCCATTAATCCTTCCTTTAAACTCACAATCCAAACACATCACATGGTTAGAGACATATACTACTTGCATTCATAAGCATGGAATATCAAACAACAAGCATGGATTTTCCTCTCATCTAAGAAACTAAGGTAACTATACTACAACTAAGCTAATGACATGAAAATTAAACTAATTAAACTAAGGGAGAGGCACAATCCATCAAGAAATGAGTATGAACCATCAAATAAACCACAAGAGCATTCTATTAAGCACTGTACCTTGACAATCTCTAGATCTATAGCATCAATACACATAGACATGCATCAACAACACAAAAACTAGAGATAAACACATGAACATCTATTCTAGCATACATAGACATATGAATAGAATGAAATGATCAATTGAAAGTATTAAACCAACCAAATCCTTGAATAAACAAGATTCATATATATATAAGTGTCAAGACAAGTATTATAACACAAATTCCCTCAAAATACATAACATCGAGGTTTAGAAGGAATGCTTAGGGCTAACTCTAGCCCCAAGAAGATATTTAGCCACTCATTGATGTAGTCTTCCAACCCTCAAGGGCTATCTCCATGGTAGGTATGCTCTTGTTCTTGATGAAAACCCTAGATGAATGGAAGAACTCCTAAAAATGGTGTCTTTAGGCTCCTCTCCTCTCTTTTCTTGGTCCCAAAGAATGTATCTAAGCATGTAATGTCTCTTTTTATAAAAGTGGCTCAAATCCTTATATAGGTAGCTCAAGTGTTACACCCAATGGTCTGGACTCGTGCACAAGGGCTGCTAAAATGGTTGCACCATTTGCCAACTTTTAATGAGCTAAAATTTGATTTAATTCGCACTTAAGAGGGTTCGATCGATCGAACGTTGATGAGATTGATTAAACTTAGGTGAGATCTATCAAACTTTGGCTAGATCGATCTATCCTTGGTGGCGTCTTTTTGGATAAAGACAAATCTGAGATATTTTGGGAAAAAGACAAAAGTGGTAGGTAGAGTGGTAGGTGTGGATAAGATCGAATTGTTTCGATCAATCTGAGAAGGGTTGGATCGATCGAAGATGGTGAGATCTTTTGGATAAGGACAAAGGCTT